GGTACCATGATATCCTACTAAAAACTTATATAAGCGTTTGTGACAGTGTCGAATATCTGAAGAAGGAAAGCACTTAGTTAAACATGTCTTATTTCTCGCAGTAACTCATCCAAAAGCACATCACAGAGATAAGAAATAAGTAGAAAGTTAATGTAGTCTTACCACATTTATAATTCTATAACTAGAAAATTGATTGAAGCTTGAGAAATCGTTGTACAAATATTTTAGACAATTTTTTTAATGTAAATGTAATTGTAGTTATAATTAATGACATGCCTCGCATGCAATATTTTAAAATTATCAGGTATATATCACTGCCCTTGCTTTTCTCCAACCTATTCCAAATTGGTCCTTTCTTCACATAAATTATAACTGGGCCATTGGCCTGGAATTATCACACAGAATGACTAACTAGACCACCGCTTGCTTATTAATGATGCCTAATGGAGAAATACTAGCTGAGCACCGTCAAATAAACTTAAATTTTGCACACTAAAAAAATAAAAATATATCTGCTGCCTTGTATCATTGCATAAAAAACAAACAGTTAATATAGAAAGGTTTAGTACTGACCTGGATATACAAAATCTGGACCAGTTTACAGTTTAATTTATTGCAGTTGCACTACGACATTTCATACAATTATTTTTTTTTAGTTTTAAAACAAAATATATGTACCCGTCCATAACAAGCAGTCATTAATTTAGAAGAATATACAATATAAAAGAAGAGCAGATGTTATAAACAACCTTAATATAGTACTTTTAAAGAATATCAATGATAAAAATATTGTTGTTCTAAGTGCTTGTTATAAAAGGTGATTCCTGATAATGTCTACCATCGAATTAGTAAATTGTTAATAACTGAGTCACAATTATCGAATTCAATTGACAAGTGTAGCATAATTATGATTTTGTTCCCCCAAGACATACAGTGAAGTTGAGCCTATAATCGTAAGTCCATTTCTCAAGAAAATTCCCTTTACAAGGGTTATTTACTAAATTAGTGCAGTACTTCGATAGATGGACTCTGTCCTCTTGTAAATGTTCACGAAAATTACTTTGAAAAAGCTATTTACTAAGTCAGTGCAGTATTTCGATAAATGAACCTTGTTGAGATGTATTCAACTTTATAGTGTTCAAATTATGATTCACTTGTCTTTTAAATGAAGCTGACTATGGATGGCACATATCTCTAGACTTGCATAGCTGAAGAAGTTGGGTCAGGGGTGTGATTTCCAGTGGGGGCTCTCTTTAGGAAGCATGACCAGCAAAGGGGGAATACCTGCCTCACAGTTGAAGGTGGATCTGTGCATTGAACTGGTTCAGTGAACCTCTGAAACAGTGGAAGTCTGGAGTGCTCAATTGGGCCTCTTTCTGACACTAGGGAAAACACTGGTAGTATAGTACTTTCTTCTCTGCTTTCTGGTGACTCACTGCATAATGTTGATTGTTTATCTGAAAAGAAAATTGATAAGAAATTTAGACTTTTTTCTTCTTGGTATGAACCCAGGAACAGTTATTAAACCGTGCTATTTTTAGGTATAGAAACACCACGAGATTATAATGAGACCAAGGTTTGGTTGTGCAAATTCAGTCAAGGCATAGTTTATAACAGCACTAAAGACTTGTAACTTGGGGAATTTCATGTTCTGTTGTCTATTATTTAATGAATTGCTCTTCTTCGTTTTCTGCAAAGAGATAACAATATTAGTAAATTCAATGATGTGTACTCGTACCTTCGTCGTGCTCGACAGCAGCCTTTCGTGGACTGTAATTCTTTCTCATCTTGTCGTAGATTTTTTCTATCCAGTAGCTGAACACTCGTGTTAGACACTGAATAACGCTAAGTATTTTTCTCGCAGCGTTCTAAGTGAAGGTCATTTTTTTTGCAAAACCTAGTCTTCTAAAATGCTAGCCGCGAAGATTTTTCGGTCAAAACGTTGCCGACAGCAGTTGTTTTTAACGTCACGCACCCTTCCCAGTATTTCGGACTAAATAGATCCAAGGCCTGCTCGAAGTTTCAGAAGCCAGTAACGATTATTGACAGTCTAGGAAATAATCTCCCTGTTGTCGATATGTACATGTGTCTCAAACAACCGTGAGGAAAACAAACTCTTAGGGAAAACTATCGATCATTTTATTAAAAAAAGTTCCATTTTAACATGATATATTCAAACCCTTCGCTAGTGATCAGCCTTTCACTAGCAACGCTTACCAAACCGGGCAGCTGTGTTTTTAAACTGATTTAAACTGTTTTAAAGTATTTTGACGATTTAAACAATATTTTGAAGCCAACATAGGGTACTTTTGCTTCTTGTTTGTAACTGTGTATTTCAGATATAGCTTAAAGGTATTTCATAACATTGGAATGATTTTCCCTCTATGTTTAACACAGTTTGTACTCAAAACAGGGTTGAAATAGGGGATTTAAAATCTATTTTTAACACAACGGCCAAAACAATTTCGTTCAAACAGTTTAAAAATATACTAGTTAAACATTGTTTTGAATGGTATGTTGCAATGGTCGTAGATTTAAAAAGTGCTTTAATACTTAAAGGTTTTAAATATTTTTCTTTAAACTTCTCCATCGCCAAACGAAGGCCGGTTTATCCCCCAGATGAAACATAATTTATTCGACTTATCGGGTCAAACTAAAATCTGTCTGACAAATATCGATTCTTAAGCTTAGTAACATAAACTCACTATGACCATCTAGGCTACCATTATAACTTCAAGAGTAAGATGGTGCTTGACCCATAGAATTTAATTTGCTTCCTTGTCAAAGAAGTCGTAAGATTGTAAAGTCACTGATTAAAACGGCTGAATCGTGAAATTTTCAACGGTTGGTTGCCTTATGCTGAGGTAACTAAGATCGTATTTTATTTAATAAAATTAGAGTTCTGTAAGTTCAGCTATCCCATTTTCTACCCCATGATGAAGTAATTTATGCTAGACACTACATGTATGTTTTTAAGAAAACAAAGGCAACATAATACACACGCAAAAGCAATGGAAATTTTACAGTACTAATCAATCATATTTCTCGTATGCCTTGATTTATTAATTGCTTTTCGTTTAAATTGATATAGGACTCTGTAAAATAGACTCACAACGAGGACAAGTTAAGAACTGAATACGTATTTTTCAAATCTATTTGATTAAAATTATCCTCTTATATTAAATATACAGATAACTCTAATATTCCTCATTTCTGACCCCTGTAGGCTAGAAGATAAAAAGTCAACTTAGCATGACATTCTGCTATGAAATTAAGGGTTTGTGGCAGTGTTATGGAACATTTAAAGACGGAGAGTACCATCGTAAATATATTTAATTAAGTACAGTGACCCATCCAAACAAAACAGAGATTAGATACAACTACGACCAAAGATTGAAAGTTAAGCCCAAACAAAATAGTTCTCGCAAAATTTATAATTCTATAACCATAACAACCTACAAAGATTGAAAGGCAAACGTTTTGTAAAAAAAAAATTATGATGCCAAATGCTTTTTAGTTTTGTAGATGACATTTCATTCGTTATTGCCTGTTGTCTATTGACACTATTGTCCTAGCTGTTGTTTAATTTATTCAGAATTGGACTTAGTATTCATTGTATATGATCTACTTATACTACACGTAAATTATGATTAGACCATTGGTCTACAGTTTTTACACAGTAGGACACTAGAATAAACTACAGCTTGCAATAGACTAGCTGGGTATCGTCAAATCGTCTAACTTAAATTTTGGAAAAAAAAAACATATCAATAAATAAACAAAAATAAGAAGATATGTTGTACACTATATCATGATTGCGATTTTTTTTTGTATCAAAACTAATTAGTTGCAGGACAATTTGATGGTAATGGCTACAATCGTCTGGCCAAACAAAATCTGGACTTTACAGTTTACTGCAGTGGCACTTATTAGCACTGATTTAATTTCTTCACACCAAACCTTGAAATAATACTTGCATGTATCTGTATCTAATAAACAGTCGTGTTTTAGTAGAAAATAAAATGTTGTTTTTTTTTATTAGTTTCCTAGCCATATTCACACAGGAGATTCCATTCAAGGCCCTCGCTATGTAACTCCTATAGTATATACTTAATCTATGACAGTGAAACTTCAGTGGAGGACTTAAAGCATGTCCAAAATTATTCCCTTTGTGGTCCATAACATTAACATGGGACGTTAATATCCCATGTCAGAGAAATGACTTTTGAATTTGATGATTTTTGTAAAAAGTTCAAAAGGCTCCAGATTAGTCAAAACTGCTATAAAGAAAGTTAAAAAAAAAGATAAGATTCCTGCAAACAGTTAACAAATGCAACATTTAAGGCAATACAATTGAAAATTTTAAACATGCCCGTCAAAACATGGTTGCCAGGTAAGAATAAACATATCACCATGACGCATCCAGATCCTAGACCAATAACATATCATACTAAATTGTTCCGAGAAAGAAAAATTAGGAAAAATAACCCCCGAGTCTGAACAGGGTTAGTAACATTATTTCAGTAAAATAAAAACAACAGCTGCAACATTCCTTACAGAAAAGCTACACTTGAAGCAAAGTGAATTCTACCAATAAATTGAATCCAACTCATATATGGACCAGTCTTCTGAAATTAGCAATATTTTCCAAACATAAATTTTAACTGGATGTATCTTTTTAATAAACGTTCAAGTCCTATTATCGAAGATAAGCAGTTACAAAAATATTGTTATTCTACCTAACTGTTATAAAATGTGATTCCTGATAATGTCTGCCATAGAAATACCTTAGTTGTTGCAAAATGAGTCACAGTAATCGAATTTAATTGATACAGTTAGCAATACATTTCCTAAGATATATAGTTCAGATTAAGCTTTTCTCAAGAAAATTCCTTCGAAAAGTGTTATCTGCTAAGTCAATTCAAATCCGCAACAAATGGCCTTGTTAAGATGCATTCAGCTTATTATAAATGTTCCAATCAATGCTCAACTTCTCACAGTGATTTCTGATGGCCGTCTCTCTAAACTGGCAGCAAATCTTGCATAGTCGATGGAACTGGATCATTGAATGCTGTAATTACGAGTCAGGGCTCTGTCTGGAAAGAATACACAGTAAGAGGGCAATGCCTGCTCCAGAGCAGAAGGAGGTTCTGTGCACTGAATTGGCTTACTAAACCTCTGCCATGGTGGGACTTTGGAGTGCTCAACTGGGCCATTCTCTGGCACGTCAAACACCTGAAGCATGATGCTTCCTTCCGTAGTTTCTGGGTGATCACTGGACTGAATAGGCTGTTTATCTACAAAGAATAATGTTAACTTGGCATATTGCAAAGACTACCGATTGATCTTTTTCCGCGTATGGAAATTCATCAGATAATAGCCACAAAAAGAGTTGACTTAGGAGGAATTATTTATAAAATTGCTAAAGGCTTTGTAGCTTTGGTGGTTTCACTACAATAATTATCTGCTCTTCTTATGTCTTTGCAAAGAGATATCGACAATAATAAACCTGCACCTTCATCTTGCTCAATGGGTTCCTTTCTGGTACTGCGTAATTTTCCAATCCAGTAGCCACATACTCGTACTAGTCGTATTAAAACGATGCGAGCTTTTCTCGCTTGGTTGCAAATAAACGACATGTTATTTTTCCAAACTTGTTCCTCAATCAAACAACTGGAGGATTTTTTTCAATACCGCACCAAAGTTCTTTCGTCATCATTTTTACTTTCTTGAGGGAGGTAGAGGTGAGGGTGGGGTGGAGGGACTTAAAGTGGTTTTGTTGCAATACTGTAAATATATGTCTAAAAATTCTCTAATGGTATATTTGTACTTCAAGTCATAAATTCCCTGAGTGACGGTTACCATTACAACAAAACTTGCTTGAATATCTTTAGCAACTCCACATAATGTGTGTGAACCGTAGAATCGTGTGCGGTTTTTGCTAAATATATATTGAGGATCTGAAACACGAATCCATCTAAAACAAATTATTGCTTATGTTTTAATTAAGGTGGTTTAAATACAACTTTCTAAGTGGAAATATTTTGCATAATGAGCATTACAAACATTGTGGTATTGATGAATTTTTGTGGCAAGCCACCAAAATATATGACATTATTCATATAGTATTTTATGGTTATACATCTTGTAAACTGACGGGAATCAATCTCCTTATAATCAAAAAGAGAGCTCTATCGAGATATCCTTCGTGCTTAATTTATTGAGACAAGATCCTTAATTTAAGCGAAATCTGTCACATGGAGAAAGACTTTGCAGTGTTTTTTTCCGGGTCAACAGCAATACCGACGATAATCTATTGCTTAATTGATTTAGTGGCACACTATTCGCAAGAAATAAAGAAGTACAAGAGTTATATACCTTCAACCTGGACCTTAGGCTACAACAATCAAAATGTTTTGTTTTGATTTTCTTTATTATCTCAGGCATTTGCTACTCTGAATTTGCTAAAACTTAATAGTTGTTAATTCACATTACTATCCATATGTAAATACAGGACTTTCTACTTAACCATCGCGAAGTAAACAGAACTTATATATTTTTATGTTGATAAATGAAACTATTTGTTATTAAGCTGCTGTTATTGCTGTTTACTTTGCAATGGGGCAGTTCATCCATTACAACTACTCGAAGGAGTGGGCCAATGATATTATTTCTCACGACTGACTTATGGAAAAATCCCGGGGGGGTACTTTGGGAATTTCTAGGTGGGGATGTGCCGCTGGGACCCTGGAACCTTAAGCCTATACCAGAGCTAGTTCAGATGAATTTTTCTACCCTATACTAGAGTAAACTCTCCAAATTTCCCCGTCTATCGACACTGTTGAGGCTGATTCGCGTAAATTTAAACTTGCCGATTTTATTTTTTTTATATATTTTTGAGTGACAATTCCTGGTTTCCTTAGTCTAGATAAATTCTTCAACCAACTACTCAATTTTGTCAAAATTCTAGACCCAAACGCTCTGATTTATATACCCTATCCTAGAGAAAAATTCTTGAAAACCATACCCTTCACAGCGGCACATACCTATATAGCCCATATATGGTAGTACCCGCCCCCGGGGAAAATAATATCCAAATCTCCATCTTTGACAAGGTAACTCTCAGTTACTTTAGGATTTAATATAGAAATTTCTCTGATTTAATGGTTTTCTTTGCTCGAGGTATGGACTTTTTAAAACATTTCCAGAAGAGATCAAACTAGAAGTTGTAATTGAAATTTTGAACAGGGAATGTTTTGCTGGGCTTGTTACGGTCATTGATTGATATTTTAGAACTTCAGTCTGACCCCACGCGCAACAGTATAGGGTTTCACTTTGACTGAAACCGGTTTCGATTTCACGAACTTTGATAGTAATGTCAACATTAGCATTTGGAATTTTCATCCGTAAGCTTTGAGCTCTTTGTTTGGTAATTTCCATCGAAAAAGTACACGTTTTCTTGAGCAATCATGCGGCTGGATTCCAGTTGATAACATATCTTTTTAGGTCCCGTACTTAAAATTAATCTTCAAAGCGAAAAAAGCGAACATTGAAGCGACTGTTCTCCTATCGAAAGCCACTCTAAACTGAAAGTAGCAAAATTTCTGTTTGTGATTGGCACCTGTTGTCTCGATAGTCGATTAAATTATTTGGACAGTTCTGAAAAAGATTGTGATTGGCTTATTTTAGCGTGCTTTATCAGAGTGTTTTTTTCTCCCTACACTTTTTTCGTGCTCCGCCGCTTCCTGGTGTTTTGCAACATAACAGAGGACAGTGGTGAGTCCTTCATTTATTAAATAAACAAATAGGTCTGTAGTAATAGTAAGCTCAACTACCCCATTTTATACTTATGATCTATTATGAAGTAATTCAACCCCATGTGTACTTGTCAACTGCTACTGCAGAACTAAGAGCCAATGATGTTCACGCCAAAGGCAATGGAAAACTTACAGTGATATGCAGTGATATTTCTTGATAGTTTTAAACGATTTATTGCGTATTCCGTTGTATAATATCCCACTGGAAATAGTCTAAAACTCTGTGAAACAAACTTACAAAAAGGACAAATAAAATAGAGTAATCTCATTTGTTTTTAACAAATATTCTTTTCTTATATCAAAATACAAATTCAATCTCGATATTCTACATTTCTTAAAGCCCTGTGAATCGTTTTAAAGTATTTTAGACATTTTTTTAATGTTAATTTAATTGTAGTTATAATTGATGACATATCTCTCATGCAATATTTCAAAATTATCAGGTATTACTGCCCTTGCTTTTCTCCAACGTATTCCAAATTGATCCTTACCTCACATAAATTAATTATAACTGGGCCATTGGCCTGGAATTATCACACAGAATGACTAACTAGACCACCGCTTGCTTACTAATGATGCGTAATGGCGATATACTAGCTGAGCACCAGTCAAATAAACTTAAATTTTACAAAAAAAAGAATGAAATTATGTCCCCTGCCTTGTATCATTGTATCAAAAACAAACAGTTAATGCAGAAAGATTTGGTACTGACTTATAAAACGCCCTGGACATACAAAATCTGGACCAGTGTCAGTTTAATTGATTGCAGTTGCACTATGACATTTTATACAACTATTTTTTTAGTTTTCAATCGAAATGTCCATAACAAGCAGTCATTTTAAGTTCAGCCGTCCTATTTTCTAACTCTGATGAAGTAATTTATGCTCAACGCTATCAGTATTTAAGCTTCTGATGAAGAAAGTAAACTTCGATTTGAAAACTAAGACGTACGCGAAAACAATGGAAACATCACGATAATGTTCAGTTGTATTTCTCGTATACCTTGATTTGTTAATATCTTTTTTTGCCTTTATTATAATAAACTAAATACTTAACTGATATAGGACTCTGTAAAATGAACTCACAGCAAGGAAAACCTTTAAAATTGAATACGTATTTCTCAAATCCATTTTCTAAAAAAAACCATCTTCTTGCATGAAAAATGCAGATTAACACTAATATTCTACATTTCTAACCCTGGAAACTAGAAGATAAAAACAATCAACTTAGCATGATATTCTGCTAAGAAATGTAGAGTTTGTGGTAGTGTTATGGAACTTATAAAGACGGAAAGCACCATGGTAATTATATTGAATTAAGCAAAGTAACCCATCCAAAAAAGTTAAGTTCAAAGAGAGTAGTCCTCGTAACATTTATAATTCTAGGGACAGGAAAGCATACAAAGATTGATAGACGAACATTTAAAAAAATGCCTTATGATGTAGAATTTATTGCAGATGCACTATGACATTTCATACAACTATTTTTTCACTTTTTAATCGAAATGTCCAGAACAAGCAGTCATTTTAGAAGAACGTACAATACAAAAGAGCAGATGTTATAAAGAACGTTATATACACGTAATACTTTTAAAGAATACCAATAATAAAAATATTGTTCTTCTAAGTGCTTGTTAAAAAACGTGATTCCCGATGATGTCTACCATCGAATTACTGCCTTTGTTGAAAAGTGAGCCACAATTATCGAATTCAATTGACAATTGTAGCATATGATTTTGTTTCCCCATGACATAGAATAAAGTTGTGCCTATTGTAAGTTCATTTCTCGAGAAAATTCCCTTTAAAAGGGTTAGTTACTAAGTTAATGCAGTACTTTGATAAATGGACCTGTTTTCTTACTAATGTTCAGGAATATTACTTTGGAGGAGCTATTTACTAAATCACTGCAGTATTTCGATAAATGAACCTTGTTGAGATGTATTCATTCTCTATAAAATGTTCAAATTATGCTTCACTTGTCCTCTAAATGATGCTGACTACGGATGGCACATATCTCTAGACTAGCGGCAGATCTTGCATTGCTGAAGACGTTGAGTCAGCGGTGTGATTTCCAGTCAGGGCTCTTTTTAGAAAGCATGACCAGCAAAGGGGCAATACCTGCCTCACAGTTGAAGATGGATCTGTGCACTGAATTGGTTCACTGAACGTCTGAAAAAGTGGAAGTTTGGAATGCTCAACTGGGCCTCTCTCTGACATTAATGAAAACAATGGTAGCATAGTACTTTCTTCTGTAGTTTCTGGTGGCTCGCTGCATAGTATCGACTGTTTATCTGGAAAGAACATTGACAAAAAATTTAGACTTATTTCTTCTCGGCTTGTACCAAGGAACAGTTATCAAACTATATTTAGGTACAGAAACTTCATGAGATTATAAAGACACCAAGATAGTCGTTGTGTAAATCCAGTCAAGGCATAATTTATAACAGCACTAAAGACTTTGTAACTTGGAGAGTTTCATGTCGTATTGTCTATTATTTAAGGAATCTCTCTTCTTAGTTTTCTGCAAAGAGATATCAAAATTAGTAAATTCAGTGATGTGCATTGTACACGTACCTTCGTCTTGCTCGATAGCAGCCTTTCGCGAACTACAATTCTTTCCCATCTTGTGGTACATTTTTCCCATCCAGTAACTGAACACTTGTGTTAGACACTGAATAACGCTTAGTATTTTTCTCGCAGCGTTGTAAATTAAAGTCATTTTAGTTTTCAAAACCTGGGCTTTTAAGATGCTAGCGGCGAATACTTTTGGTCAAAACACCCTTGCACAGCAGTTGTTTTGAACGTCACGCAATCTACCCTGAATTGCGGGCTCAGTGGATCCGAGGTTTGCTGGAACCAGTAAGAATTATTAATCAGTTTAGGAAACGTTCTTACTGTTGTCGATGTGTCTCAAAGCATCGTGAGGGAAACAAATTCTTAGGGGCAACTATCTATCATCTTTGTAAAATATATCAATGTCAACATGATATATTCAAACCCGGTGCGAGTGACCCTTTCGCTAGTAAAGGCTAAATTTACTTCTTTAAACTGCTCCATCGCCAGGAGAAGGGTGGTTTATCCCCCGGATAAAAAATAATAATTTTTGATTTTGAGGGCCAACTCAAATCTGTCTCAAAATTATAGACGCTTAGAAAGATAAAGTTACCATGATTATCTCGGCTATCTTTATAAATTCAAGAGTAAGATGGACAATTAAGCACAATCTGGGTAGTCCTTGAGCTCTCGATTTGAAAATGCTTCTCTATCAAAGATGGAAAAATACCTGTAAAATCACCGATTCTGTTGGCTGGATCGTAAACTTTTCAACCGTTGGTTACCTAATACTGAGATTACAATGAGTCATATTTTACTTAATAAAATCAGAGTTTTGTAAGTTCAACTGTCCTATTTTCTAACTCTGATGAAGTGATTTATGCTCAACGCTATCTATTTAAGCTTCTGCTGAAGAAAGTCAACTTCGATTTGAAATCTAAGCGTAGTAATGCACACGCGAAACCAGTGGAAATTTTTACGGTAATATTAAGTTGTATTTCGCGTATGCCTTGATTTGTTAATTTCTTTTTTCACCTTTATTATAATAAACTGTGTATTAAACTGATCGAGGACTCTGTAAAATGGACTCACAACGAGGAAAACCTTTAAAATTGAATGTGAATTTCTTAAATCTATTTTCTGAAAAAGCATCTTCTTGCATGAAAAATGTAGATAAACTCTAATATTCTACATTTCTAACCCTGGAAACTGGAAGATAACAAGAATCAACTTAGCATGATATTCTGCTAAGGAATGTACAGTTTGCGGTAGTGTTATGGAACTAATAAAGACGAAAAGCACCATGGTAAATCGGAATTAAGCTAAGTAACCCATCCAAAAAAGTTAAGCTCAAAAAGAGTATTCCTCGTAACATTTATAATTCTAGGGACCGTAAAGCATAT